GTTGTCTTCCCTTGCGAGGGTTTGGGTTGTTACTGTCTGTGATACCTATAGCCTTTTGTTGTTTACTGCGTTTCACTTATCGCATTGTTTTATGGATGTTACTGTCTCCTTTGTTGATTATATACTATCTTTCTTATTGGATGTTATGTTTTATACACTGTTTTCCTCGCCTTTTACTTGAATTTGATGTACTTGAGCTGAGGGTCTCTCGGAAACAGCCTCTCTACCTCTACGAGGTAGTGGCAAGGTCTGCGTACACTCTACCCTCCCCAGACCCCACCTAGTGGGATTTCACTGGGTATGTTGTTGTTGTTGTTGTTGTTGTTGATTGTTTTTCTCATGTCCCCTACTATTAGCTCATGGAGTTTTCAATACGATGAATTCCCTTTTTAGTTTCTTTTTTCTTGTATAGTTTTTCTCGTTTAAATAGTGTATAAGACCTAGCTAAGTTTGTTAAATAAACTGCTGTTCCTTCTTGACATGCATTTAAGTTTGTTCAACATGTATTATCTTGTAATTCAGAACTCAGAAACTAAAAATTTTGGCTCCGCCTCTGCCTGCACGATGTTGTCAACTCTGAGATAGTAAAAATACTTTTTTGTTTTTTTGCTCAATTGCAGCTTGACTGTCATTTTCTTTGCAAAAGAAGGTGAAGATTGTTGCTTGACTCCTATGAAGGAAAGTTTGCTTCCACCAATAACCATTAAATTTCAAAAAGGTTTATCTCAGAAATTTAGGCAATCCTCTGGAATTGGCATTGATCTTTCAATGTTTGAAGAGGCAGAATGGTCGAAAGATGGTAATGCAGATGTATATCAGCTGGCGGTGAAGGCAGAGGCATTCGAAGATGCCCAAAGTGAACCAGAGGATGGAAATGCAGTGTCTGTGTCCACAAATTCCCAGATTACTCAAGCAGTTTTCGAAAAGGACAAAGGCGAATTCAAAATTAGGGTGGTGAAGCAAATCCTCTGGGTCAATGGCATGAGGTATGAATTGCAAGAGATTTATGGCATTGGGAATTCAGTTGATAAAGACTTTGATGGAAATGATAATGGGAAGGAATGTGTCGTATGTCTTTCTGAACCTCGGGACACTACTGTACTTCCATGCCGCCACATGGTATGGATTTTACTGTTCTTAACTCTTTTTTGTAGTCGAATCTTAACACTGTTCTTCATCAAAATGTTATCTTGAATGCACTGTTATAATGTGACCTATACCTGTCAATAACCATTCCTCCCATCCCCTAAAATCCCAACTTATCTTCGTTTCCCCTTGTTACTCATGTTTTTACAGCTTCATATGAAACTATAGCATGCATATCTAACACGTCAAGTAGGGCCTAAGGGTTCATCTACATTGTTAAAACTATTTTTAATCTATATCTAATAGATGTTATTCTTCATGTGTTTACTTTCAATATTTCGAACCCCTCATGAAAATCCTAGCTCCACCATTGATCTAACAATTGATTGCCTATTTTGGTCGACATTCCAAGATCTGCTTATTTTAAAATGTATTTTTTGTTCAAAGCACTTTTCCTGAAGGTACTTTTGGCGAGTAGCAATGTGTGTTTGGCTAGCCAATTTGGAAAGTACTTCTTTTAGCTTCTGAAAAAAACAGTTTCTACTGCTACTCAAAAGGGCTTGTTTTCTTGGCGAAACACCTCAGTAATGTGCATCAGATTCATTGCTTTGCCTTTATTGAAATTTATTGAATGTAGAGGTCATATATGGAATGCCTGTTGCTTTGTTTTTCTTGTTTAAATTGATTGTGATGTAACACTATTGATGGATATTAAAACTAAATAATGTGCATCTTAAATCCAGTGCATGTGCAGTGGATGTGCAAAAGTTTTGAGGTTCCAGACAAATCGTTGTCCTATTTGTCGTCAGCCAGTTGAGCGATTCTTGGAGATTAAGGTCAGCGAAGCTGCTGAAGAATAAGAGTCGCGATAACCACCATTGCATAAACACAGGGGAGAATCTAGCAGCCTGAATACAGGTTTGGCTGAACCTAGTAACTTTTGCTCTACACTACAGAAACCCATACAGTTGAAAATCGTGGCTCCGCCTCTGTATAAACTTATTCCTTTTTTCCTCGGTATCCAGTGACTGAAAAATGGAGTTTCCAACCAGTAGGTCAAGAAATGCAGTAAGTTCATCGATTTTGTATTTTACGCCCTTATTAGTACTCTCCCTCCGTTCCACTTTGATTTTGTATTTTACACCCTTATTAGTACTCTCCCTCCGTTCCACTTTGTTTTTATAGCCGTACAAATGTTATATGACATGTTTAACTCCAGGTCAAACAAAGTGAAACGGAGGAAGTATATCTTCTTTGCAACCTTTTTGGATGATTATTTTAACATTTATTTTTCTTTTTCCAGGGGAAAGACCAATACATGAAGTTAAATACTGTATATCTCGTCATACATTGGATGTTCAGAAAATAAATGAGCATCACCAGATTTTTCATTATGTGTATTAACACAATCTGAAATTGTTACCACAAATAGGTAGATGACAATTTGCTGATTTTGAACTGTACTAAATTAAACAAAACAACAAATAACCACAATTTGTTCTGTTTACAGAGTTCTGAATAAAATATTTGTACATATTAAATGAATTTTTAAACTTGAATAGAGCCAAATTAAAGCTACTTGATTCTACCGAACTCGTAACTCCACCCTTCTTTTCAATCTAACTGGGCTTATATCGCAGAAGCTACATAGTTTGTATGTTTGGAGACTGAAAAGCTACATAGTGGATATGTTTGGACTCAAGTGCAGCACATCATAGTAGTTATGGAAAAATGAAATATGACAGTGAAGAAAACATGACAACTAATAAGAAAAACAATACAACGCATTTAGAAAAAAGAACAATAACAACGAAATAACACAGTAGCCAAAACACATTACACAGATATCACAACTCCAGGTGAAATCTTCACCTTCCAATATCACCCTAAATCTTGTTCTTTGCAGGTTATGCAAAGTTTTAGCAAGAATCCATCCAAATTTCCACAATCCAAGTGATAATGAACACCACCATAACGACAACGCCGAACTTTCTAAAAGCCAACTCTGCACAGAAGTTGTGTGTCGAGGAAAAAGGAAATCTAAACTATCATCAGAAAGTACGGTACATTTTGATCATAGTTGCCTCACCTAACCAACAGGCAAAAGAAAAATTCGATGACAAAGAGCTCTAAATAAATAGGTCACCCGCCCGCGTAATGTTTCGTACGATGAGTTAATCCGATATAAGTCATTGTCAACCAACAGTTTCTTAGCAAAATTGGCTGAAAAGAAAGGGGAGAAATAGTCAAAGGGAGGGATGAGGTTGGGAAATAGGAATTACATATCTCAAGAGACCAACCTCAAATTATTTTTGCCTATCATACTTACAAGCTGCTTCGACACTCTTCTAACCTCCTGATGTTCCCGGCAGCATCTTCATTGTTCGCTATACAATTAGTTGGTCAATCTCAGTGCAAGCAAATCTGAAGACAAATAAATGGTTGCTAACATTTGTAGAAGGAGCTCCATTTAGTGCATCCGCCGTTCTGCAACCTCCTCCCCAAACACACACAATGTGATTACGGTTAGGTCATTGCTTGTAACTTGGAACTGACAACCTTTCCTGATATTGGTGGCTTCTCCTTCAAACTAGTACTTAGTAAAGACTCTGAATTGCTAGTTTGGGTTTCACCAAACTCTGGTCTCACCCAAACCTTTATATGCCCCTCACGGCAGATAGTAAGAACTGATGCATGAGTAAACATCACGCCAGAGAGTGGTTCAGTGTGAACACGATGAGTGACCAGGGGCGATAGCTTTGGAACATCTCGCATGCTTGGAGCAGGTTGCAGTGTTCCAACAGGGCAAGCCCTATCCCAATGAGATGACTGACTCCCCGTGCTGTAAGTTGGTGATCCACCATGAGGACGGCGCATTGGTACTACAATTTCATCCATTTCCAGATCCCATAAGAGCAATTGTGTGTCCTACAAAAAAGTATCAAGTCAAAAACAGCTAGAAAGGAGATTGTCAAGCAGATTCACCTCGAAACAGATCAATCTTTGAAAGTCATATTATGAGCAAGGCGAGGAAAATATTATGGAACACAGAAACGTTTTATCTTGAATGAGCAAATAAAAGACCAAGTAAAATAGTGAGATGTAAACTCATAATATGAGCCATTTATTTTGAACATGTACCTGACCAACAGAACCAAAACGGTAGACCACATTTTCATCTGTGCCATCTGAATTTGGTGCTGACCAATATGAATCAAATGCCACACCACTGACCTGCCAGACACAAGTTAAGATAATAAGGCATGAATGCTGCATAGAAACCAAGGTAAGTTACAACCGCTCGAAACTCACCCAGGAGTTATGCCCCTCGCCCCAGGCAACAACTTTACGTTCTTCCATGCTCCAAACCTGAACTAGGTCATCTTCTCCACCAGCTAAAATGTACTTTCCATCCATGCTGTTGGTTCATGTACAATCAGTATAGATACTCTTTCTAGCCAAAACATTAAAAACAACATGCATTTGTTTGTGTGTGGGCATCTGTGGGAGTGGGCAAAGGAAGGTGGGAGGGGAATGTGTGCTATACGGCAAGGTCCACAAGGCATAAGTGACTTCAAGTTACATATGCGTCATGCACAAAAAAACCATAAACACTCACCTCCAAGCACAACATAACAGAGCACCATAATAGCTTTTTCCACCACATATAAGCTGTTCATTTTTGTAGTCAAATATACGCAGATAACCTGCATTAGATCAGTCATATTCAGTAAGGGTAAATCATCACAACAAAAGAATTAATAGCTTCACAAGTCATCTCATGAAGAAAATACCATCCCTCCCTACAGTTGCAATATATGCCCCATCAGTTGAGAAAGCAATGCTATTGATGGACCCTTGGCAAATATGCCATCTAGCTACAGGATTCTGCATATAAAAGCCAAATGGAAATATGTGAGAGGAAGAACTTAAAACTGCAGTTCTTAGATTTGAGATCTAGACAGACATATATGTTTAAGTCTTACCACAATCAATTAGGAGATACTAAATAAAATGCCACAATGACTGGCTAAACTAACCAGCACATTTATCTAATTTTGGTAGGGCAGAAGCAGACTAAATGTTTTTATTCCAGACAAGATAAACATAGAATGTGCTTGTCAACATATAATGGAAAAAACTGGTCCAGTGTTTAGGAAGATGAAACTGGAACTTTGTTTATGTTTTACTGCGCAATAAACTTGCTTCTTTAGGGATTATTTGGTTTGCAAACAGGTTATGTAGGGATTATTTAGCTGTGAATAATAACGTGGGGATTGCTATGCACCGAATAATATTGCAAGAACTGTCATGTGGTAAGAAATAATGTAGGCATTGCTATGCCAGGTCAGGGATTGCCTCTTTATGAGCATTTTTGTCTTATCTATGTTTTGCTAATACACTTGGGAGTCGTTTGGTGTGAGGTATGAGATATAATAATCCCAGAATAAAATGTTGGATTATTTTATCCCACGTTTGGTTGGAGGTATTAGGTAGTCCATGGATTATTTATACCACCATTTTTGCTATAGTGATGGGATAATTATCCCATGTACATGGTGGAATAACTTATCCCGGAATTAATTATACCGGGATAACTTGGTCCCAACAAAACGACCCCTTACTCTTATTCTGCATCCTCCATGTAAAATAATACTCCCTCCGTTTCAAAAAGAGTGGCCTAGTTTGACTTGGCATCGAGTTTAAGAAAATAAAGAAGACTTTTGAATCTTGTGGTCCTAAATTAAAGTTACGTCAAATGTACAAAATTGCCCTTTAATCTTATGGCCTTAAACATGCCACATGGAAAGCTGAAATTAAAATGTTACCAAAAAGGGAAAGAGGTCATTCTTTTTTAAGCAAACTAAAAAGGAAAGTAGGTCATTCTTTTTGAAACAGAGGGAGTACATAAATTACTGTGAATCAGCTATGGGTATGTGGAGTTTAATACTACCAATAAACATGCATAGGCAATTCGAAGTTAGTACCATAAACTAAACGTTGCACTGGTTATTCACATATTTTTTCTTATGCAGTCAACCAAAACATAGTATTACTGATACAGAATTTTCCATCAATGAATCAGAGTTTAGATGGTGTGATTCAGGAAAAAAATGGAAGAAGTAGGGGGAAGAAATAAGAAAAAAAACATAAATTACAGACAAGAGATGAACACCTCTGATTTGTGCCCACACTCACTTTGAAACTACGCAAAGAGAACTGCTGCACTTTCGGAACTAAAGCCACAATATGAAGGTGTTGCAATGGACACTAATTCTTCTTGTTCCCAGAGAAGGAGAACCTGAAGCACCAGATGAATGGGCCTACTTGTGATTGGTCAAACATTAAGGCAATCCAACTGAAACAGTCCACTTACTAAATTGGGTCTAAACCTGTGTATATTAATATGAGATTGTTCATCTCTTTTCTTGAAAGGAGATGATAAGAATATCTCCCTCAGAAGTGAATGAAATACAAATCCAAATAAAATAAAATAGGAATCAATAATAAATGAATGTGTGCTTAAAACACGTGGAAGAATTCCTCTTCTGTCTATCTTTGTGGTTGCTTGGAAAACAAGGATAGGTCTCTCACATGTAATTCTTTTTTTTCCTTCTTTCTAACTTTAAGACAAAAGAAATACAAATGATGTTTTTGCTTACTAATCAGACCACAAAGATATACAAATTCTGCTAAGAAGCAACACCTAATCCATAACAATTTGCATATGCCCCGAGTATGGTCTTAGCAATTTGCTTGTAATGAAGATCCCGAGGAAAGATCATCTAATTTGTTACATTTGTTGGTGTGTAATATTTTTAGTGCAAATGCTAAGCGAAGGTTACATAATAGATGATAACGTAAATAGTAATTCTAAATACACTCGAATAACATTAAATCATTAAGCTTAAAACTACTTCCTAGAGTGCACAAATTTAAACTTTTTTCCCTCATCGCACAATCTGGTTATATAACTTCAATACTAATGTGCTGAATTTCAAGTAAATACACAATAATCTCAACCATCTTGCCGTGTTGTTAAAGGCTTGTTTGAAGCACGTTTAACTCCAAAATCTAGGCGAAGTCCAAATTGTGCGCTTCGCTTATGTGGTGCATTAGTACAAGCACGAAGATATTAGGGGGTCGTATGGTAGGATGTATTAGAGCAAATAATACATATGGTATTATTTAATCCTTTGTTTGGTAAGATTATCAGCCAATGACATGTATTAGTTATACGCCCTATTCAGTATAATAGGGTGTATAACTAATACATGGCAAACCATGGAATTAGCGATACAAGAGTTATTAATGAAGGATGAGAATGATTAAAGATAGAACTGCCCTTAATACATCAAACCAACCAGTGGATAAAAAATAATCCCAGCATAACTAATCCCCGCATTACTTTAATATTTTTGTGCAGAGAGTAACTATGGAAGTCATTCTATCCTCCCCAGACCCCGCTTGTAGGATTCTAGAAATGTTGCTATTGTAGTACTACGAAAGTCATAAATGGGGAAAGTGTTTAAAATTGAAAAACAGGAATTTATGAATCGGGTGGATTTTTTTGAACATTTTCTAATTTTTTAAAATATGTTGGAACACTTGAATACTTGAACAAGATTGTGAAAAAAATAAATTCAAGGCTAATAGCCTCTTATTTTATTAATAATAGAAAATTGATTTTTAGTATTCAAAAGTGCCACTTTGTTTTGTAGTTCAAAATTTAATCCCAGCATTACTAATACATCTTATTCAGTACTATACACTCAACCAAACGACCCCTAAGACACATGCCTCATCACTATGACCTCAAATCTTTAAGAGAAAAATACTAGACCTATAGACCATTGTAAACAACACATTGGGAATGAAATGAATAGCTGAAAATGAAATGGGATTATCTCAACCTCAATATCAACCTAATCAGGTAAAGCCTGCCCAACACCATAAAACAAGACTATAGGTAATCCCTCAACCATGTGGATTGTGGAACTCTAATCTCCACTTCCTCTGCACACCCAGGGCTAGATAGTCGGAGCACGGACAGAGTAATATGGAGAACCAACATTGGGTAACCAAAGAAAAGAGATAGGCTTGGCACTGATAACATTTCAATAAATGGACCTAAGCTTAAACTCCACTCCAAAAACTATCTCAAAGTGAGGATCGCCCAACACCATATAAAATGGTTAAGGACACTCTTAAATTATGATAAGGAATAAGAAGTTAAAAGAATTAAAAATTACTCACAACAAAACTTTAACTTGCATCATTACATCCAAGTCAAAATTTAAAATTGTTTTTTTAATTCTACTGGCATAATGCTTATTCCTATTCTTAATTCTAGTTTTCTTCAATTCTTTTGTCCAAACTGTCGTTTATGTTTATAGTTGATTTTCATATCTAAACATACACGCTCTTCATAACCATTTCCCTTCTCTAAAGCCCGCCATTTTAATTGGTTCTATGCTTTATCGTCCACCAGACCTTGGCATTTATTCAAATTTTTGCCTTTGACAACTCTGCCATCCAGTTCACTCAGCCTACATTGCCAAGTAATACTCATACTTGCAATATTAGTCATTGCAAGATATGATTGATTTGTCCCATACTTAATATCTGATAGATAACTTGATTTATGAACAGAGACTGTATTACTAATTAAATAATAGCCTCAACATACTGAAAGCAGTTGACTGTATACATGCCTTTCATCCACCTTGTTTATCTCACAGAAGGAACATGCTTGGGCTTTCTGATAGCTATTCTATAAAGCTTAGAATGTTGTTCTTAATAGAAAAGCGGGAATATATGAACCAAGAAATTTGCAAATGGTTGAAGGTAAACATGAGAAATTGATAATCTCAGCACTGATACCAGGGACACATCATCAAACGCTGAAGAAAGAACTATATTCACAAGCAAAATACCTTACTATAACGTGCATGGGCGACTGAAAAATGAGTTTGATCTTTGATGACAGGAAATGAGGGATCAGCAGATCCGTCTTTGCTCTGAAATATGACAACAAAAATACACATTGGTCTAAGAAAAGTAGAAAAGATGAGGATCATTGAAAAAGACCTGGAAATTGGTACACTCCCAATTAGTTTCAACACTTGCCTTATCATAGACGTAAAAATTTCCATCCGCATGAGCAACAACAAAAGCCCCATCACTGTTAGGCACCCAAGTGATACTAGTACATCGACTGTTGAAAGGCAAAGTAATCTATTAAATCTGCTCCATCATTATAGGCACCCATCAAAATTGAAATACTAGTACATTGTCGGTCAAAAACAAAAGAAAATGTTAAATCTGAAAGAGTAAAGATTATCTTCGGTATAAAACAAGTAACTTGTCTTTTCAAATAGGCAAAATACATAGATCGACATTTAAAGTTGTCACCAAAGATCAGATAGACACTTCAACCATCCTTGTAACCAGATAGGCACCTCTTGTTGGCATAAGTGTACCTCGTGAACACCCAAGGTACGATAGAAGTTAGAACTTACATGTGAGTTACAATGACGGATAATGTGGCAGTTGACAAATCAAAGGACGACACGTGAAATTTTAAGAAAAAAAGAAAAAATGCATCTAATTTAAAAAGAAAAGAATTAGAACTCCCACCCCTACCCACACACCCCTTCTTCTTCATCCAAGAGTATCACCAGCTTTCTCACGCTCTTTTCTTCTTCTTCATCCATAAATTCCACCAAACACCTCTCCCAATCTTCTTCACCATCAACCACCACATGGATCTCCCAAACCCAAATTTTACATGTGTCGACGAAAATTTACCACCACAATGCCACCCACCCACCTCAGCAGTCTCTTCCTTCTTATAATTCTCAATCCTCTTTGAATCTTGAAAGTTCGCAAAATCCAGTTTGAAATGTGTTGTGCCTATTGTGGTAGAAAAAATCGGAGATGGGTATCAAATATTTTTTAGTTGAGGTCATAAAAGAAAATCAAATATAGGTGGTGGGGGAGGAGGTGGTGTTGGAATTGAAAATTTTCTTTTAAATTGCCTGATTTTGGTTAAGCTTTAAACAAATTGTTGAAAATTGAATATGGAGGTAGTCGTGCAGTGGAAGGTGATGTCTCCGTCAATGGCAGTGACAGGTGGTTGCCAATATTTTACCTTTTTTGTGTGTGGTTCTGTGGTCTTCGATGGGTGAAGCTTTATGGGTCCAAGAGGTGGTTGAGGCGCAGCTCTAGGGTTTATGTGAATGGAGCTATGGAGGAGAAAAATGATTTCTTGGTGGTTCTCGGATGACCAAGTGTTTATGGAGTTAATGGTGTTAAAATAATGTGAAGAATGTACAGAGAGTTTGTTTCTGTATTGTCTGGCAACTGATGGGTTTTGTTGAAAGAGGGCTTTGTAGTGGTGGATAATGGATTGGAGGCTAAAGGTGATTATGGGAGATAAAAGTTAGTGGGTGGTGGTGACGGCAATGGTACAGGTGTGAAGAGATAGAAAATGTTGATGGAAATTAAGGGTAAATAAGGAATTTCCATGTTTTTAACAGTTGGAGATAAATTATAATATATCCAAAACGCTAAAAAGCAATTGTAGACTTATGCAAATGAGAGGAATCTATTTGGTCACAAGGATAGTTAAGGTATCTATGTTGAGATTGACAGCTTTAAGTAGCAACTTATGTATTTCACCTTTAAAATATTCCATGACGCAGGAAGCAATATGAATATTTAGGAGGTGGGTGGGAGGAAGGTAAGGGAAAGATACTGTTCATGGAGCTAATATGACGACTCTAATTGTATTAAGGTTGGGTGGGGAGCTTCAAGTTGTCTACCTTGATGAGATTTCTAAAAACTGAAAATTCTAAAACAGTCATCTTTTTATCCTCATATCCCCAACTAGTTTGGAGTGAGATGTAGTTGATTGAATGATTGATTTTGTTCTCATACTACAAAGACTATCCTAATTCTCTTTCTTTTCCCTTGGTACACAAACTGGAAGGGGGTGCAGCATAGGGGTCAAATCTTGAAGCATCACTACAAGAACTTTGAATTATGATTGCATTACATTTATAAGACCGCAGAATGTGCTTCTAAGGTTACTGACTATTATTCCTACAACAACATGCCCAGAGAATCCCACAAGTAGGGTCTGGGGAAGGTAGAATGTAGACAGACCTTACCCCTACCTCATGGAGGTAGAGAGGCTGTTTCTAGAGGACTCTCGGCTCGAGTACAGCAAATCAAAGTAGGTACGAAAAGGGAAAACGACCGTGAAGAAAACATAGCAACTAAATAAGGAAACAGTAACAACAAAAGAATTGTGCAATAATCAGAACAACAAAAGAATTGTGCAATAATCAGAACACCAAAACAGATGATGATAGAAACCAAAAGCAAGACACTACAAGAATAAGGCTAATACTACGACAAACTCCACCAAACCTAAACTCATTGAGAACCAAGACAACACTCCACAACCTACTAATCTTTTATTGTAATTCCCGACCTCCACACCTTTTTATATAAAGTCATGTCCTCGATAAGTTAAAGTTGTGTTATGTCCTATCTAATCACACCTCCCCAATAATCTCGGCCTACCTCTACCTCTCCTCATACCCACAATTTTATATAAGTCACTCATTAGGTGCTTATTATAATTGTTGGAATATAATCTAGAGAATGCATTGCTTTTTGGAATGCATTTTAAGGTCCCCATTAATGATTATAGTTCTCTGAAGAACTCTATGTCCTATTTCAGAAAACTTGATGTCAAGTTTCATAAATAATGTGTTTAGAAGTAATAGTCAGGAATGGATGGACGCTCTTATTTGCCTTGGTGATGAATGAATTGACGTGGTATATGTCATGGTGTATGTTATTTGCAGATGACATAATATTGATTGATGAGGCACGTAGCAGAGTTAATGTTAGGTTCTAGGTGTGGAGATAAACTGTAGAATCTAAAAGGTTCTAAGACCAAAACGAAATATTTGGATTGCAAATTCAGTGATGCAATGCAGGAGGAAATGAGGTTTGACACACAGGCTATCCCCCAAGAGAGATAGTTTCAAGTATCTTGGGTCTTTAATCCAGGCTAGTGGGGACATCGACGATCATGTTTCACTCATAGTGGTACGGTGCGGATGAAGTAGAGGCTTGCCTCCAAAGTCTTATGTGACAAAAAGGCACCACCTTAATTTAAAGGTAAGTTCTATGGAGTTAATGGTGTGAAAATCATGTGAATTTTTGTTTTGTTGAAGGAGGGCTTTAGAGTGGTGGATGATGGATTGGAGGCTAAAGGTGGTTATGGGAGATACAAGTTAGTGGGTGGTGGTGACGGCAATGGTACAGGTAAGAAGAGATAGAAAATGTTGATGGAAATTAAGGGTAAATAAGGAATTTCCATGTTTTTAACCGTTGGAGATAAATTATACTCCCTCCGTTTCAAAAAGAGTGGCCTAGTTTGACTTGGCACGAAGTTTAAGAAATAAAGAAGACTTTTTGAATCATGTGGTCCTAAATTAAAGTTATGTCAAATGTACAAAATTACCCTTTAATCTTGTGGCCTTAAACATGTCATGTGGAAAGCTGAAATTAAAATTTTACCAAAAAAGGAAAGAGGTCATTCTTTTTTAAACAAACTAAAAAGGAAAGTAGGTCATTCTTTTTGAAACAGAGGGAGTAATACTACAAAGACTCCTAATTCTCTTTCTTTTCCCTTGGCACACAAACTGGAAGGGAGTGCAGCATAGGGGTTAAAATTCTTGAAGCATCACTACAAGAACTTTGAATTATGATTGCATTACATTTATAAAACCACAGAATGTGCTTCTAAGGTTACTGACTATTACTTCTATAACAACATACCTAGATAATCCCACAAGTAGGGTCTGGGAAGGTAGAATGTAGGCAGACCTTACCCCTACCTCATGGAGGTAGAGAGAGGCTGTTTTTAGAGGACTTTCGGCTCGAGTACAGCAAATCAAAGTAGGTACAAAAAGGGAAAACGATAGTGAAGAAAACATAGCAACTAAATAAGGAAACAGTAACAACAAAAGAATAGTGCAATAATCAGAACACCATAAAAAATAGATGATGTTAGAAACCAAAAGCAAGACCCTACAAGAATAAGGCTAATACTACGACAGACTCCACCAAACCTAAACCCGTCGAGAACCAAGACAACATTCCACAACCTACTAATATTTTATTGTAATTCTCGACCTCCACACCTTCCTATATAAAGTCATGTCCTCGATAAGCTGAAGTTGTGTTATGTCATATCTAATCACATCTCCCCAATATTTTTTCAGCCTACCTCTACCTCTCCTCATACCCACTATATTCAATCTTTCGCAGCTCCTGCAAGGAGCTATCTGCATATCTCTTTTTCACATGCCCAAACCATCTCAGCCTCGCTTTACTCATCTTGTCGACAACAAAGGTCACTCCTACCTTGGCTCGAATATACTCATTCTTAATCTTATCGCTCCTATGCTCATATATCCATCTCTACATACTCATTTTTGCAACTTGCTTCTGAACATGGGAGTTCTTGATTGGTCAACACTCAACACTCAGCCCCATACAACAAAATCGATCTAACAACCACTCTATAGAACTTACCTTTAAATTAAGGTGGTACCTTTTTGTCACATAAGACTTTGAAGGTAAACCTTTACTTCATCCACTCCACACCACTACGAGTGAGACATCATCGTCGATGTCCCCACTAGCCTGAATTAAAGACCCAAGATACTTGAAACTATCTCTCTTGGGGGATAGCCTATGTGTCAAGCCTCACTTCCACATTTGCCTCATGCCAAGCATCACTGAATTTGCACTCCAAATATTCCGTTTTGGTCCTAGAACCTTTTAGATTCTACAGTTTATCTCCACACCTCGAACCTAGCATTAACTCTGCTACGTGTCTCATCAATGAACATTATGTCATCAGCAAATAACATACATCATGGCATATACCACGTCAATTCATCCATCACCAAAGCAAATTGGAGTGTCTATCCATTCCTGACTATTACTTCTAAAAAACATTATTTATGAAACTTGACATCAAGTTTTTTGAAACAGGACATGGAGTTCTTCATAGAACTATAATCATTAATGGGGACCTTAAAATGCATTCCAAAAAGCAATGCATTCTCTAGATTATATTCCAACAATTATAATAAGCATCTAATGAGTGACTTAAATAAAATTGTGAAATAACCACCTCAACTGCATTCATCATCCAATTAAACTTACACTAAGATTGCGCAAAGATCCAAAGAAGGCTACCATTTACAACCAATCAAAAACATAAGCAACTAAAGATCTCAGCTTCCAGCTTTATTAGTAGGAAAAACATGTCACTCTAATAGTTCTCAAAGAATATTCTTGGAAACACGCAATTATACTAGCTGTAAAACCATACATGACACAGCTATGACGATTCATCTATTTAACAAAAAATAACTCAAAAATAGGATGTCAAATCCAGACCATTAACATTATCCCAAAAAGACAAGATAAATAAAATAAAAAAAAGTGTTACAATTCCAAAATAGTATTTATAAGAATAACAAAGACGGTTGAGTTCAGAGCCTTACGTGTTGTTAACAGAACCATCCTTGTTGTAATGTTGTGCCCCAACAAGCTTCTTCCCAACATCTTGCATTTGTTGACGTAGAGATACTGAATAAACTGCAAAGCAGATGTTGTAGGTAAAGCGTGAAGTGGAAGATTGAAGTTGTACGTCATGTAGAGAGAAATTTACCATCTCCAGAACTCAACCCAATGAGCAAATCATGCCCTTCCTTTGCATCCGGATCAAATGCATGGCAAACAGGATTTGAATTACTAAAGTGTATTGACTTTATAGGATCCTACATTTCCCAATGAACCTCTCAGAATTCATATATTCAATTTTTTCTATCTCAAAGAACAAATATAGTGATAACAATACCTTATCTCGAGAATTCAAATCACTAATAAAAATCGTGTCACCAACATTGAATATCAAATAAGTCCCTTTGCCATCGAAATTGGGAATACTGCCGGAGTTATTTGAACTTGTCACCCCAAATGATCCAGCTCTACCACTCATACCACTGACAGACTTACTTCCACCATTTCCTCCGACAAAACTAAGTGACTTACTACCATTTCCACCACCTAACAATCTTGCTGCTGCTGACTTAACACCACTGGTGACTCCAAAACTTGATGTCGAGTGAGGCTGTGCCTGAATGGGCTTATCTTTGAGAGGAGCTAGAGAAACCTGAAAATCATCTCGGGACTTCAAAAGTTGGACTAATATTTAGGTTGTTTTGACAATACAAAAAAGGCAGAACGAGCATTAGCTAGTAGCTACTAACTAAAGCTTATCTAGCTGGTATCTCAATGTTAAAGCCGCAACTGCGTGGATACATTTCCTTCATTTAAAGGGTTTATTTCAGCCATTTATAGAAGAAAACTCTTCAAGTAAGCCAGGACCCAAAAAGTTTAAAATTGAAGACATAAGGCCTGAAATGAGTGTAAGCACTGAAACCAAAGAACTTCAAATAATCTCTATACTGGGACTGTCAAATTGAAGCATTAAGAAATATTTTCAAAAACTGAATAAACTGAAACAAATTGTTTTTCACAGGTTCTCAATTAACTTCAAAAACAACAAGGTAAAATGACAAAACAATTAAACTTTTCGCAGAATGATGAATTATTCTACCCCATAATCTTCAAATCGACCATGTTAGCCAAACCCATTCCAGATTCCGCTCAAAAGATCAATTTTACAAAAAGGGTCAATCTCAAAATCCAATTTTAAGCATCATATAAAAACTAATATCCCAAAATAACATAATTGGACTAAATTTTTTTAAAAAAAAAGAACAACCCTAGAAAGGGGTTTACCTGAGTAACAGTTTTGCCATGGGAAAAATGAAGAAGACCAGCAGGATAAGTCTTTTCATGGTGAAGCTTATATTTTCCTTCTGGGGTTTTGAAATAAGTCTTCAACCCAGGAGATTGTGCGGCGTTGTTTGCCGATGCCGATGCCGGCGACATCATGCTATTACTATTACTATTACTATTGTTGATCATTCTTAGAAAATACCAATCCAAAATTCTCAAACTAACACATGTAATCAGATCATTTTTGTACCAATTTTCGATTCTGTGTGTGTAATTGTTTAATCGATTATGGAGTGGAGTGCATATAACTTTGAAAAAGGTGAAGATTTTGACTTTTGGGAGCTTTTTGGTTGAAGGGATGGACGGTTGGAACAAGTCTAATACTAGCTAGTTATTCTTCTTTCTTCTTCAATGCTCTCTCTGTTTTGAGTGCGTTGAGATTAATTTGGATTGAGGGGAAGATCCAGTCTTTTCTTTACTCTATGACTTTGGCAAAGTGTGTTTGGAAAATATTCTTTGTATAAAAAATGTTTTATTGGAAAAAAAATGATTTTTAAAAAAAGAATATTTGGCAAGGATATTATATAATAAACGTATATTTTAACTTAGTTTTAGCTTACATTTATATCTTTAAATTTTAGATGTGCATAAGTATACATTTAAATTTGTGTAAAGTTGGATACCTACATATACTGTGAGACACAACTTAGAATGCTACATAGGATGTGTATACGGATGGCAATTGGGCGGGTGGGTTTAAGGCTATGCGGGCAATTTTAAATCACTATCCTACTAAATTAATACAACTTAATGAAAAAATAAATTTATTTTTCTGAATTTTATTTTTCAGTATCAAACTTAACTAGAAAAAAAATATTAAAAAAATTATGCGGGGTGAGACGAGTTGAAAATGAAAAAAGTTGTTATGCGGGGCGGGGTGGGGATTAAAATTTTGCGGGTTAAGCTCAACCCGCCCGGCACCACCCTATTGTCATCCCTAGACGTGTATGCTTACTTGTTTTATTTTATACAAGTTTAAATGTCAACTTATGTACACCTAAAATGAGAGGACCTAGATGTTAGTTGAGAGCAAGTAGAATAACTTGTGTGATGTCTTTTGGTAAGTAAGCAACAAAAAAAGAAACTATTTCAAAACCCTATAAACTCGTATTTTCGAGATATGGTCAAGAGTGTCTAATACTATAAGAAGGATATGTTATTGAGGTATTCAAATCACAATGGTCATATTTGAAGTTTTGAAATAAGCAAGTTGTAATAATAAAATTGGTAAAAGTTATCGCAAGTTATTATAATAAATTTGAAGAAATTTGGGTCAAATATCTCGTAAGTTTTCTCCCAATCTATAAAGAGTTAGAGGACCCGCAATTTATCAAAACGGAGATCTACAAGTCTAGTTTTCAAGGCACTAAGGGGTCGTTTGGTTTGAATACAAGTTATGCTGGGATTAGTTATGTTGAAATAAGTTATGCTGGGATTACTTATGTTGAAATAAGTTATGCTGGGATTAGTTTTTATTGTTTGTTTGGTTTGTCATATTCAAACTTATATTCATTGCAAAAATTTTAAGAATAAGTTGTTTGTTTACAAAAATACCCTCCACCTTATTTAGTTTTTTTTTTCATATTCTTTGCAAGCTTTAGTTGATCATTCTTAAAAATAAAATATTCATCTTATTTAGCTTAAATATTTTTGTACGTGCATTTCTGTGATTGTGTCATGTGTTTTTAAAATTAAACTTTCATCTTATTTAACATAAAAATAAAACTTCCATCTTATTTAGATTAAAAATAAAATTTTCATCTTACTTAGCTCAAAAATAAAACTTTCATCTTATTTAGTTTAAAAATAAAACTTTCATTTATTTAGTTTAAATATAAAACTTTCATTTTAAGTTTATTAAAGTAAGAGAAATTTTATTAGTAAAGTTGTCTACATTTTAATTGATATATAAAATATAATTTTTAAGTGAGTAATAAATTATTTAATTAAAAATATGTAATTTAGTAGTAGAGTGAACATTTTAAGAGAAGTCATTATATAAATAAACAAAAGAATATTCAAGTTATAATATATTCATAAATAAAAACTGTATTTATAAAATGTATTTTTTTATAGAAAAATATATTATCATAAAAACAACGAATAATTAAGGTTATGAATGTTATTATAAATGTTTTTAAAAATTATATTGAGGAAAGGCTCAAAATAGTCCATCATCTTTGGTGTAACACCCCGTATTCGAAACAGACGAAAATGCAGATTTTGAGAAGTTGCAGGTGCAACTTACGGTCACCATCCACGGACCGTAGGTCCAGACCACGGCCCGTGCTAGTGGTCCGTGGTTCACCACTGCAACCCCTCCCCAAACCAGCTCAGAAAAATTGGCTAAGTCCCGACTCACGGACAGACCCACAGTCCGTCGATCAGACCACGGTCCGTGGTCTGTGTCCGTGGATCGAGACTTCCCTTACCCAGCCTCTGACACAAACTACGATCGACCAGAACGGACCGTCATTCGATCCACGGTCCGTAGGTTTGACCGTAGATGAGGATCAACAGCCAAGTTAGCTGAAAATTGTTGATGGGTCAACTTCAGATGGTCATAAATCTTAGTAAAAAATGAATTAGGTGTCCCATGAAAAATGGTTAGATAGATAATTGAATTATCTTTCCAACGCCACCGACTTTGTTAAATTCCGACCTCCAAGTAAAAAGTTATGCTCGTTTTAGTGAAGCCCTGTCGGGCAGACTCGACCTACGGACCCAATCGACGGTCCGTCGATTGACCTACGGCCCGTCAGTC